TTGTGAATGTATTTACAGAAACATTTTTTATTGTCTTTTACTGCAGTAGCCAAATTGAGTTCTAGTTGGGCTTTGGCCCTTCTAGTTTTCTCTCCGCATAACCCCACAACATCTTTGTAGTTCTCCTGTGTTGCCTGACCCTTCTTCCGAAGATTGTAAACTCTCTTTTTCTTTTCCTGAGTTCCAGCCAAAGCTCTCTGTTCAGCCAGGCCAGTCTTCTTCCCCGCCAGCTTGTCTTTTGGCACATATGAATGGCCTGCTCCTGTGCCTTTAAGATTTTCTTCTTGAAGAATGTCCAGCCTTCCTGGACTCCTTTGCCCTTCAGGACTGCCTCCCAAGGGACTCTGTCAGCCAGCCTCCTAAAGAGGCCAAAGTCTGCCCTCCAAAAGTCCAAGGTAGCAGTTCTGCTGATCCCCCTCCTTACTCCTCCGAGAATTGAAAACTCTACCATTTCATGATCGCTGTGCCCAAGATGGCTTCCAACTATCACATCATCCACAAGTCCTTCTCTGTTCGCAAACAGGTCCAGCGGGGCACCTTCCCTAGTTGGCTCCCTCACCAACTGTGTCAGGAATCCTAGACTGTTTCCTCTCTGCTGTATTGTATTTCCAGCAGACGTCTGGTAAGTTGAAGTCCCCCACAAGAACAAGGGCTAGCGATCGTGAGACTTCTCCCAGCTGCTTATAGAATATTTCATCTGCTTCTTCATCCTGTTTGGATGGTCTATAACAGACTCCCACCATGATATCTGCCTTGTTAGACTCTCCCCTGATTCTTACACATAAACACTTGACCCTATTGTCACCATTGTCAAGCTCTAGACAGTCAAAACACTCCCTAACATACAGGGCTACCCCACCCCCTCTCCTTCCTTGCCCATCCCTTCTGAAGAGTTTATAGCCATCCATTGCAGGACTCCAGTTGTGAGAGTCATCCCACCATGTTTCCGTGATTGCAACTAGATTGTAGTTTTCCAGCTGCACAATGGTTTCCAACTCCTCCTGTTTGTTGCCCATGCTGCATGCATTGGTGTAGATGCACTTCAGTTGGGCTATTGATCCTGCCACCTTTATTTTGGGGAGAAGACCTAATTCCTGTGTGACTGTTCTCAGGTGCTTCTGTAGTTTCTAATGCATCAACAACCCTTATGTCTTCGCTGCCGCATGCATCTCCATCCCCTGCCTCCACCAAGACGGCTAAGGTGCTGCGTGCATCGGTACAGGAACATTTCAAACCTGCTCATCATGGAGTACACTGAAGGACCTTGCCAGCCCACTGTCCCTCAAACACTGGCGTGCCGCCGCCAGGCTTATCACTAATGAGCCTGGTTTTATTCCTTTCCCCCTTCAAATCTAGTTTAAAGCTCTTTCAGTGAGCCCTGCTAACTCCTCATGTCACTTAACTTGTTGATTTCCTCAGGTGTAACTGACATGCCACTGACTGAATCTGTCTCATCAAACTCTCCCATTTGGTCTGCAGGTCTTCTCTAGGAGATGGAGAAAGATGCTTGAGCACAGACCCATGCTCTGTCACCATGGAAGGAACAAGAGAGCAGTAGTAGCTACTCCTGTGGGTGGGCTGCCTTGTGCAGTCTTCCCTCTTCATCAGCAGAAGCAGCAGCCCAGACCGGCGGATCAGGAACTTCCAGTCCTACAGCAGCCACTGCTACTGTCCACCTCTATCAAGTAGGCATGGAGGCCAAGCTTAGCAGCTGCAAACAGTCTGCATAGATGTATGCTTGCATAAAATCCAGAATTCGTCTTCAGGAGCCAAAGATAAAAAGTCAGTGAAACCACAGGCTATGCTTGGATATTTATGGCATTTAGGGTCCTGTCCTCTCTCATGCAATCATGTGGAAGGTTTATGCAGTAACTCCATACTTCACTAAAACTGCCTCAAAACGTTACCCTCTTTTTTTGTTTCTGAACAAAACTAAGAAGAATTGCTCTTGTAGTAAGGTGCAGCAGCACAGCTGGAAGAGAAACAAATCTTTTCTATTATTAGCTTTCTAGAAAGATATTTTACTACTGAACAGTATGTTTTGACACATATTGAGCTTTCCAAGTGTTAAAATACTGTATCAGTATTGGTAGAGATAAAAGAAAAGATATCTTGAAGAGCTAACAGATTTCTGAGATGTGACTGTCTTAAAAACTTATAGCATACTGGCAAGGCTAAACACAGCCTGCAACATCTTAAGATACAATGATTTGCAACTCTGCCACTGCTGTTCTTCCTTTTAATAGATGATGCCATGATACAAAATGTAATTTATAACCTACTCTTCCTTTCACAATTTTAGTAATTTTTTTCCTTGCACAACAACACGTTCTTGTTACACATTTTTCTCTGTTAATGCACATACAAGCTGCAGTTATATGAACTCTCTCTAGGAAGAGACAAGACACAATGTGAGGATAAAGGGATATTTTGTTTTCCCTTTTTTTTAGGAGCACAATACAAACTCAAGTGAGGTCAACTGAATTTTGTCTTAAGCATAACAGCTCCTGTTGTGCAGAAATCCAAAAGGAGGGGAAAAAAACAAACATTAATTGTAGAAACTTTCTAACACTGAAAACTAACTAATCATCTGTGGGTACATTGTAAAGGTTAGTAAAACAAAGCACACGTTAGCTTACTTTATTTCAGGAGTAACGATTTCTGCTGCTAAACTGTCTGAAGGCTCTTGTCTTCCCAGAGGCATCAATCCTGGGTTAGAAAAAGTAAAAAATTTAGCAAGCAGACCAGTAACTTTCTTTAAAAGACCAGAAGTAAACATTGTTTTAGAAGTTTAAAGTTTTAGAGTAATGGAAAATGACACAAAGTCAGGCTACAGCAAGACAGACAGACAAGCACAATTTCATTTGGAGAATAATCATTATTTCTGTCTTCATACATTCTGATGAAGTAATTTTGTGGTGTATTTTCTGCTCATTAGCTTATCTAAGACCTACAAAGCTGTGCAACATTACACATAGAAATAAATTGCAACACATGAAATATCATACAAACATGAGAAAACTTAGTATCTCTCTAAAGAAAACTATATAACTACACAGAAATCAGAAATAGATTATAAAAGTATCACACTGGGGAGAAGGCTAAAATTTCTGATTGACTGAAATAACATCTGAAGTTTTCAAATGCTTACAAAGTTATGAATAGCTGAAGCAGCTTTTCACTGCTGATCTTAGAGGAGCTTAAATTTATTCTGTGCTAAACAGGAGCACATTCAATACTCTCCAGAGAAGTCCTGTAAACTTTAGAAAAGACTCATTTAATCTCCTTATTTGTCCTTTACCTGTAGTGGTGAGTTGACCCTCCTGAGCTTGTACACATCTAAGCTCTTCAATGGTTTCTTTCAAAGAATCCCTTTCTGTTCTTAATCTCTGAATAATTGGAAAGAGAATTAATATCAGTCTTGGCACTACAAATCCATCTTTAACAGTACAGAAGTCGCCAAAAGGCAGAGCCTTCAACACTTTAAAAATAATTTAATGCAACTCTAGAGATGATTTTCAAATTAAGGCATCTCAGTCTATTTCACAACAGAATAAACATAAATATTATATATTCTACATGAACAGTGTTTCTTTTGAGAAGGGTTGCTGCTCTGTATTACACTTATGGGGGTAAAAATATCAGGGTATAAGCTTACAAAATCAAGATATTAGTGACACAAAGTTCTGGTACCAGGCAGTAAACAGCATCCACGGGGGTCACTCAGCCATCCTCCTTTTGCCCTTATCAGGGCTGATTCCAAGGGAAACGGAATTAAAATTAAGAGACCATAGACTTTTCCCTCACCAAGAAACCAAGGTTTAACCAGGAATGAAATAAAAAGCCGGTGAGTACACAGTCAACAAAACAAACTGCATTAACTTCATTTTGTTTGTCTTTCAACAGTGAAAGTGTGAGCAGCATTTCCATATCCCCTTCCTCCTGTGTGTCAACTGGCCTTGCCGTTCACCAGCATCTTAGCTATGCAAGAAAACTAGTTGCTTGAGGCTCAATCCAAAGAGAACTGAATAACAGGACTGGACCACCTTGGGATCTGGACAGATGGGCTCTTCAGTAGCATCAGACAAATACTCTCCCAATTTGGCACAAGTCCCCTTTTGGCAAAAAATGAGGATCTATAGCATCAAGTTTTTGTCCAGAAGGTTACCAAGATTCAAAAATGAAAGGAGAAAATGGCAACTATGTAAAGATCCAAGCTGTAGTTTCCTCCAAAATCAGACATGTCCAGTATTACTAAAAGGTCCAGGACAGACCTTGGCTCTGTATAGGTATGGAGTTGTGTCAGCTGACAGCTCCTTGCATTTCATCCTATTAACAGGTTGGTTCAGATATATTTTATATTTCAGCCCAAGTGGATCCAGGACTTGGAATCACTTTGGCAAAGAACATTTTGGTGAGGTGTGACAGAAGCTTCTGCTGTATTTCTGAATCCTGCAAGGTGAATGAACTCTGGTGCAACTGTCAGAACAATCTGAATAAAGTGTACATTCTGTTAGCACTGAAAGTCATTTCACAAACCCCACAGGTGAAAAAACAGTTTTTACCATAAATACTACAGAAGAAGAGCCACACAGAGGAGTGCTCAAACTCAGCTGCTGAAAGCAAGGATTCTGCAGTCTGCTACCGTCAGTCAGAAAACAGCAAGTTGATTAATCAAATGCCAGAATATTTTAATGAATAGAAAAAGCTCTGGGGCTTCATTTGTACACTGCAGACAAAGTCAACTCATCAAATTATCTTAGTACTTATCATACAACACACCACAGAGGTAAAATTCCAAGCTACATGGCTGAAGGTATCAAACGCCCTACCACCCTTTGCCAGAACATAAAGAAAAGGACAAAATCAATCTCAGTAACTGTTTCCAAAATATAACTGACAAGATACCATTACATAGCTTGTGACCTGTGGTGGGCAACCTTACTGATACATATGTGACAACAGGAAACAGAAAGAGTAGGTAACACAGGTAATGAATCACTAATTCAAACATTGAGAGACTTCAGCTGTAACCTACTTCTCACAGGTGCATATCCATTCAAAAGAATGTATTGAAAAACAACATCCGCCCCAAAAAATGCTATTTGCCAGGGGGTAAAACAAAAAAACTATATGATGATGGCCTGCAATTCAGATCCTTTGTGCAAGATGAAATGGTCCACCAAGCAATGGGTAAGCCACAGATGCAATCTTACCATTGTCAAACATAACAAAACTGGAAAAACAAACTTTAAATAAAGAGCAGGAAAGAAAGCCAAAGCACAGTACGAATACAGTTACTACGGGCATTCCAATCTGAACTGAAGAGCAGATGGAAGCGATATCAAGGCCAAGTGTCCACAATAGTTGGAAAATTTAATAAAATACGGAAATCAAAGACCTATGAACAGAAAAGAACTGAAAATTTTCAGTTCAAATGCTATTCAAGTGCATGGGCTAGAAATTTTTGAAAAAATTGGACAGGAAATATGACTATTGAGGGAAAAGCCTACAGAAATTCTGCCTGATGGATAGATGGACTTATATTTAAAACAAGCCTAAGAAATTGCTAACTCAAAGTGCTAGCCTTGGTTTGAGGTAGTTTGAAGCACCTGCGTATACATTCCTAAGAAACGAGAGGAAATAAACTAGTGAGAAACAATAGTGTGCAAGAGAAGTCTGAAGGATCAGTCTTGGCAAGAGAGGACAGAGCAATTAATTGCAGAATCACTAACAGCAAATGACAGAGAGGAAGGGAATAGGCTGGTATCCATCCTGTGTGTTCTGTGTTGGCAGTACAAGACAGATCAATAAGGAGCTGTCATAAAAGGCGAGATCGCCACGAAGGACATGTCCCTCTACACGACTTCTAAGCCTCTTGCTGCAGTAGTCATGACTCCACAAAGAGAAGCACACTGATGGTACCTCAAAGAATGCTTTAGAAAAAATGCAACAGTAGTTCAGTTCTAGGATGATACTGTAGAAACCCTACCTTAAATAGTTTTTCAGAATACATTACAATTACCCTGGGTGTTTATTAACCTTCTCATGGTAAATGGTCAGGAAACAACTTCAGATCCCAAATATGAAGGCTTTTCCACTTAAAAATGGGTTGCATATGTTTTTGTACAGTCACCTTATTCTGTGCTGTACAGTTCTTAGGTTTAAAAAGGATCTTGTACACAAACATTAGAAAATTTTAAGTGAAAAAATACTTCCTAATTTAAAAAGCTGGCTGTAAATGGCTAACTATAATTACCATATCTCTGTGTTATAAAGGACACGAAGTTGCTATCACTACTACCAAAAAAGTAACACCTTGGCACTTACATCTTTTTCTTTTTGGAGGCTGTCTACTTTTTCTTTCAGTCGTTTGCATTCATAATCTAATTTATCAGCTTTCTTGGATTCTTCAGATAACCTGTTTTGTAGTTCAACTGCCTGAGAGAACAAGAATCAATAATTTGTCTGCAAATATTAGTATTAAAACAAAATACACAAGACAAAGTAGCCAATTACCATGCACCACGAGTCATGTTGTAAACAAGTGAAATAGATACCTATAGAACATACTAAAAACTGCTTTAATCAGTTGTTCTGTGTTTCAGCAAAACCAACAGCATTCAAATATTAGGTCTTAGCACAAGCAAAAGAAGCAAAAACTGTAAAGTATTTTCAGTACATCTAAAACCAAGAATTTAAGCCCAAGCACGGTTTACAGAAAAAAGCTATATAGTTCTATGGATCAAAGAGCTTAGGAAAAGTAGAAAAATCCTCCTGCATTCTGAGAAGCCTAGGAAAAAGAAAAAACTTTGAAGAAAGCAAATTATCTACACCTTTTGTTAACTCCATTTCACAAGCCTCACTCAGAATTCAACCACCAGTTTATGCAGCCAGGTAACGTTTCTTAACCTGAGATTTTCCTAATCATTTTTAATACACTAATATAAAGATTCAGCCACATGCTCAAAAACAGTTTTCTTTACTTCAGAAGGAAACATTGCTAACAAAGTCGCATGTATACTTTCAACTACAGATCAGTAAAGAGCTTTTAAAATTAAATGAGCAGAAATCTGAAAGCTGAGCAGAAACGATGAGTGAACAGGAGGCAAATCAGTGAAGTCTTGCCTTTTCAAAACTCTCAGCCTTTACTAGCAAAGGGTCATTCCCAGAACATTAGTAAAGCTCATAATGCAGAGAGCATGGAAGCAAGTACGCTGAATAAAGACTGACCCGCAAACACAAAAGCTGAATGAAGACTCAGCTAAAGATGTACAGCTTCTTCTGAAGCAATTCATAAGAAAGCTTTTTCATGGCTTTTAGATTACAGAGAAAGTGACTAACTTAAATTGGGAAGCAAAACAGTAGTCATACCTACATTAAGACTGCCTAGTGGTTCTAATTACCTTTTATTTTCAATGTGTATAGCTATAGCAAAATAACTACCAGGCTTAAAAATCTGCATGGTCTTAAGTCTTACAGAAGGACTTTGCTGCTGTTGTTCTCAAATTAAAGGCTGCAAAAAAAGCACAGGCCTGCCCTTTCTGAGATTATCAGATTAAAAAAATATGTATCAAAATGTTAGATATGAAAATATTTCATTTCTCAGATGTGACATCCATCACTGTGGCTATCAGAGTAACTGCAGGTATGAAAAAAAAAATGCAGGTCTTCACCCGTGATTGTGCCCCCACTTGCAAAATAGGTATATTTTCACCTCAAATGGAAACAAATGCATTAATGTTAGTAATCACTCATGCTATGGTAATGGTATGTAGAAAAACACAGCAGGAAATAAATTGTCTTGAATCAGGACTTGGGAGTGTATAGAAAGATATACAGCTATATGGTAATGCAGAAGAGTTAAAAAAAAAAAAAAAATTAACTGCCATCACATTTACTGAGCATTATCTGATGTGTGGAATGAGTAAAGCAGGAATCTTGCAGCAAAGAAAAGCAAGACATACTGTCAAAAATATGTCAGAATGCACATGCACAAAGGGGCTGAATTAAAATTACAAAAAATAATCCCGGAATCTCCACATTTCAATTCTTCATGCTGCAATAAAAAGTTTCTTAGAAAATGCTTGTGCTTGCTTTCAGAAAAGTGAACAAAACCTCTTAAATAAATAAATGCTATTACACCTCCCAGCACAATACACCACCATTAACCTCATCTCACAGAAACTGCTGGGTGGGGTGAAGATGTGATTTTCTTGCAGATCACTATAAGAGTTTGAACCAAGCACTTTCATCTGCACAGCACAGAGCTTCTAAGCCAACGAAGTAACTCCTCTGATGGCATCATCATGAGTGGGGTTGGATCCTTCACATACCAGACGAGACACATTCCACTACAGGGGCACACTAGTGCTCATCAGTGCCACAACATCAGAACCTTTATACCTGGCTTAATTCTTATAGCACAATTTAGGATTCCCAGAAATTAATTTTGTGACAGCTCATTCACAGGCAGGTCTCAAAGGAGCCCAGCCTTACAGACACTGAAGGTGGACACACTGTGTGTTCATTTTGAGGCTCTGTGGTCGGGTGAAGAAAACTCACATTTGTCGTGAGACACCTGAGGTTTATTCCAGTCTCAGCCAGCGGAACAGTTCTGTACAAATCAACAGCTCCTCAGATATGAAATCCTACCCATAAAACACAGGGAATGATGAAGAAAAGGAAGAGTACTTTTGCAGTACAAATGATGGGACTTGTGAAAATTCTTTTTTTCTGGTGGAATCATTTGGAATGTATTTACAATTAGCCCACAGAGGCTGAAGCTAGTTGTCTTAATAACTAAGATGGCCAGGTGCAGGGAAAAAGCTATCAAGTCTTAGGGACACACATTGCTCCCGGGCTTACAATGCTGTCAGTGGTTGGTTCTGTATTTTTATTCTGCTGTAAGCTGACACATAGATAGGACCCCTGTGCCAAGATCATTTGAGCTTATAAGCAGGCAGAAATACAGAGCAGGCCCTACTGCTTTAACGAACCACACTCTGTCTGGCCCGGTAACAAGAATCCCAGAATGATGTCATGTCAACGTAGTGTAGAAGCAGAGAGAAGATTAAGCACATCTTCCACCTTTACAGAAACAGGATCACATGGCACTTTGATAAGCAGGAGGATAAACAGATGCCTTTCACTCCAGAGAGTGTGCTGGTGACACATTTTGTACTCTGCTGGGTGCATACAAACAATAAGGATGATACGTGTCCTTCTCTCTTCATAACTGGACAAATTCAGACATATCAGACAAACTAGAACCTTAAAAAAAGAGGTTACTTAACCACAGGAATAACTTACCTCAGCTGTGGTGCATTCCTCCCTGCTAGAAATTTGTGAGTGAAAAGTGGATACTTTTTCTGAAAGAAGAGGCTCTAATTAAAGCCCCACTACTATGAATTAGGAGTGATTTGAGAAAAAAATTTAACATCTGTTGATTTTTTAAAAGTAAGAAATACTGCTTATTGGCAAACTAATGCAAACTCGAAATAATGATAAGAACTGCAGGAAAGGAGAACAAAGGTAGTACCTACAAAACATGGAAGTCTTCTAAACACAAGGAGCTGTTTGTTCATAATTTCTTTTTTTACTTTGAGGTATTAGCCATGTTATGAAAAGAAAGTGTTGAACAATACAGAGAACTGTTGCATTGATGATGTCTGTTCTCACCTGCCGCTTGTATGTTTCCAGCTGACCACGTGCTGCGTTGGCCTTCCTTAGTTCTTCTTCCAGGCTCACAGTATTTTGCATGTACATTGTATTCTTCTCTTCTAAGAGTTTCACCTGCCGTCGCAAATCACCCAGGTCTTCCAGTTTCTTTTTGTATGACTCTACCTGGCTTTCTAACTTGGCTACTTTATCAGAAGAATGCCTGGAGGGACAGATTTGTATGAAATTTGTACTCTGAAAACTAACAAAATGAAATGCCCTGAAGCTTCCTCACTATTTTGCCTTAATGCAGAAGACATTCTGAGACATCATGGGGAGAACAAGAAAGCAGTCATATACTCCTATTATTAATGTTTTCACTTTTAAATTGCCTGCTTCCCTCCCGTAACTATTTGTCAACTCAAAGAGCTGCTGATGGAGGTACTTTTAGACACTATCACTCTTCCTAATATAGCCTTCTTATCTGTTTCCAATCTTAAAATAATAGTTAAAGCACCTTCACTCCCACCCATTTCCTTTCAATTCAAAATTGATCCTCAGTCCTGCATTTTACAAGGGTAAAGAATAATATGTTCTGCCCTTCAATTTGTTTTAATGACAGCCAGGAAAAAAATCATAAAGATCTATCTCCTGGGCAGCATATACTTGGTGACACAAAAGTAACAGCTTTGGAGCCTGTTTCCTTCTACAAAAATGAAACACCAGGCTCCGTTCATAACATTCCAGAGTTTTTCCAATCCACCTGGTGCAATGCCAGGACAGCCACAGCCCTCACCCCCAACCACCTACACTCCCGCTACTATTACTGCCTCCAGTTTCATTTTAGAACCAACCAATTTACTGACTCAATTTCCTATGAAATCTGGAGAATCCCCCATTGAATTGCTGGTCAATTTATGGGACACTGGGGCAAGCCAAATCTCCTTAATCCCCAGTGAAGTGCAGAGCCTCTCTCTGGGGCAAGGAATTACTCTTTGAAGCCACGCTGCCCACACAGATAGTTCATGGAATTGTGCAGCCTGATGGGCTTATTCCTTATATTAATGACATAAGAGGTAAAGACAGATAGCTTCAGTAGAAAGCTGCCGGTGAGTCAGAAGAGGCAGTATTAAAATAAGCCTTGCTACACTTGCTAGAAAGAGTGATACAGGTGGGTAGTGGACAACTGTTCTGAATAACGCATGGCAGAAAGACTGAAGGATTATGTTCCATAGTAAAAGGGGCTGCCCCACCCTATAAACCCCTAGCATCATCAAATCATGACAACTTTGGGTGCTAAAATCCAGTGACAGAGAGAGCTGTAGCAGATGTTGTTCATATTAGCATGATGAACAAAAAGCACCACCCAAAGTCCAAATAATGCAAACCCAGGAAAGGAAAGTGTCTAGTTCTCTTATGAGAACAGACGCCCAAGTCATGGTGAAGGTGAGTAGAGAATACTCAAGAGATCAGTGAGTGACTTGTTATGACCGTAAGATGGTGTAGGATTGCTAAGTTTACTAACAGTTATTGATTAGGTACATAATAAATAACTAATTTAATTAAGCAGAATTGTGTGGTGGTCTGTCTACTTAACTGGAGGATCCAAAAGAACCATGGCATTGAGAAAGTGTTTGTATTTAATATTAAAATTATTTAAACAAAAACTAGTGAAGACTAAGTAGACAAATTATATGGATTAAAAGTTAAAAGCTAAAAAAGGGTTAATGGAACAGAGTTTACCTGAGTACATCTATCTCATCCTTCAAAGACTGAGCCTCCTCTGCCAATGTAGTAAGCTCTTCTGTTTGTTGTCTCAATTCAGCAATTTCCTTTTCTAGTTCTTCACAGCGTATTCGATAGTCATCTTTGGCAGCTTCTAATCTGTAGAAATGAAGTAAAGCAGAAAATAATTTCTCAGCTTGAGCCACAGTTATCTTTCCTCATCATCATCCTCTCTAAAAACACATGGAATGGTCTTCTGATGCAGTGAAGGAGAACAGCAGCCCAATGTGCTTATTCAAAAACATAGAAGCAGATTGACTTCTTCAATGCTCCCACTTTGATATCCGTGTTTCTATTTGGAAGATCAGAAGCTAATGTATGTTCTCAGAAAGACAAATCCTGAGTTTTTTCTGTCATAATAATTTTTCACAATGGAAGCTCAAGCAGAAATTTCTACCTTTTTTCATCTTGGGGCATACAAAGTCTGAACATGACATCTTTATCCTAAGATATTTTTCAGCTGTTCATCTCCTGTACACCTTCAATAATATTGACGTGATTGTCAGATGTTCTAAATGCTGTAGAGTTGTCACCAAGGTGGCTTTATTTATTTATTTACTTATAAAGAACCTGTGCCTGCCCAGTACCTCTGAAGAACCAAGTCATACATTTAGTTATCTACTTAGCACGTAAAGAACTGAGACCAAGGTTTCTGGAATGGACTACTTACATACAGCATACACAGGCAAAGCTGCATCAACCTGGCAGTGAACAAAGGAAATAACTAAAAGAAACTTTGTCAAAGCATTTTGAATGAACGGAAGAGGCCACAACCTGGAACATGAAGTCCTATTGTGATTTTGATATGAAATTAAAATAAAAACAATCCAGAAAAGGAGGTACGGGCACGGAAAAAAAAAAAAGTATTCTATCCATTAATTCAAGAAGCCCCAAAAGAATCTACAAGAATTGAGACAAGACATAATCAGTAGGTCATCTAAACTATATATAACAAAGACTTGGATCGTGATGGACTGGAACTGTCAAAGGACATAAAGAGGCAAGACTGGGAGAAAAAACGTTGTACCACACTGGGCATCAGTTAAGGTGTACATATGTCCTGTTTGGTCAGGTAGAGCTGGAGAAGGAACACACACAAATTGCCATTAGAAACCACATGCTATGAAGGCAGGGGAAGGAGGTGAAGGAGGTTGGGAGATGAGTCTCACACATGAAAAAGGTTTAGAAAGACCTTCAGAACCTGAAACTAGAGTAACAGGCAGTGCAGACATTGCATATGGGGAGAAAAACTGTTCTAACAGCAATTGATAATAGACTCAGGTAGGAATCATTCCAGAGCATGAAGATGAATAAGGAGAGATAAAAGGGGACATTAGAGAGACATCACTACATTATTCCTTTACATGGTAGATATATAGAAAGCAGAAAACCAGGCACTAGCTGCTGTGAAAGAGAAACACTGAACGTTTTTCAAGAAACTGAAGGGAGAGGCTGTGTCTAAACACGCAGGAAGGAGGCTTAGCAAGAGGAAGTGGAAAAATGGCAAAACGGGCAAAAAAGGAAAGTTACATGGCAGCTGACATAAGAATTAGAAAAGGGCAACCAGAAGAGGACAGAAAGAGGAGAAAAACTGGCAGTGTAAAGAAATACCATAGTTTCATTCACAAAGGATAGGGAAAGTACAGCAACAAGAATGAAAAGATGATGGTGAAGTAGACCAGCTTTCTTCAGCAGAATAGGCTTACACAGACTGAAAGCAACAGTCAAAAGGACCAGAAAGGATATTTAAAGAGGAACTGTATTTCCACGTGTTGAGGAAATGCAAATGAAGAGCAGAGCTCACTTGTGGATAATTTCCATCTTTCGGATATGAAACAATTTGTGTTCAAATTCAGAGAAGGACACACTTTGCTGTATAATAATACCACCTGTAGTATTGCCCATAGGAAACTTTCAGCTAGGAATTCCTACACCTTAAAAATACAATCAGAATAATTTAGATAGAGGAAAGCATGCTACTTTTCATTCTCACTGATTTTGGAAAACATGGGTGAAATGGTAGCACACAAACAATTCAAAATAACTTCACAGAGTAGAGAGTGACATGTATACAGCATTTCAGCATTAAGAAATTATGCATTTTTGTATGCTGGAGCTTGTAAAGAGGTAAATCATAACACGTACATCACCGTAAAAACTTTACTACTGTGGTTATATCACCCTTTATACTAATTCATAATTGCCAACAGAACCAGAAGTATATAAGTCATGCCTGTTGCCATCTAACCAAGTGTAGCTTTTCTACCTGAATGTTTCCTCCTGGAGCTGTTCTAGTTGTGTCTGCAGCTGCAAGTGCCTACGACCTGCAGGGCTGTTGGGATCTTCAATAGAATCAGATTGATTTAAACGTTCCATCAAAATCTGGTTCTCAGCGAGCAAGCTGCTCTTCTCCTCCTGGAGGGCTGCAACCTGTTGTAATAAAAGCATAAACTGGAGTAACAGAGCTATCCAGCTATAGAGAGCAATTTTTTTTCCTGTGCATGATAAAGTATCAACACAACCCACAAATGGAAACACACAGGCTTCAATAATCACATTTCACAGGAATATACTGTAACATTAATAGGTATTCAATTGCTATGTGATGTAACCAACATATTGCAACATTAGGGGCAGATTTACCACACAGAAAACGTAATTATGCTTAACTGTATTTCACACAAGCATCTAAAGAAAAAGTCTCAGTTATCACAGAAGACAACTTCATTATAACAAAGCCTGCATACTTTCCCAACAAACAAATAAAACTAGCCTTCCACAGTAAAGCTTTTAAAACTGATTTCCAAAAGAAACAATGCCTATCAATCACACAGAATATCCAAGGGATGTCTGTACCCTTCCTAGATTTTTGTTTTTAATCCAGTGGCCAATTGCAAGCAGACCTGAAACAGGAACACAGTCCCAAAGATGACTCAGTTTCCGGCAATGTTGTGAAAACCGGCAGTAGTGCAAAGAACCCAAAGTGCTGCAACTCAAACAACAGCCGAAGCATGGGTTGATACATTATTAAATAGTGTAGAATTAACATGCAGGAGGAGGAGGGGAAGAGAGCGAATGTGAACATCTCAACAGAAGGAAATGCTTCAATAAGAGCTTGAATCATCAAATACACCAAAATCAACCATGACACACAAATCAGCTTCACTAATTCTAACAGTTACTGAACCGCTTGGCAAAAGCCTGAATTATACTCCAAAGTAGGGTTGCAAAGGCAATGCCTTTCGGGGCTCCCACTTTACACTCCTCGTGTCTTCTGGATGAGGTATGCTTGATTTACAGTAAGGCTTAGTCTGAATCCATACACAGCTGATAAACTATAGAAACTTCTGATGGGGATTTAACTCTTAACTGATACTGTTACAGCAGCATAACCTCTATTAGTTCTCTAACGCAAGAGTTGAACCACACAGATCAACCCCTTCCTACCTGAATGAAAAAAAGTTTTGTTAGTATGAATCATCTTAACACTGGCAACATTGCATCAAGGTAAGAAAACAATGAAATTCACTCTGCTGGCACAAGTAAAGCAAAATAATTACTGTGCAATTTTCATCTCCCTTTTAAAAATTATGTTTTCACACTATACTTCTTGTTTTCAGCTGCCTACAAATTAACACATCTCTTTCCCACTTCAAAATTAATATGTACAATATAGCAAACCTACCTGCATATCTAACTCATGACATCTCTGGGCAATTTCTTCTTTTGTTGCTAGTGCTTCGTTTAATTCTTCTGTAGTTTTCTTCAGCTACCATAAACAACAAACATTTATAGTTTCATCACTCTCTGTGAAGTGTCTAAAAATATTCTGAACTACATGAATGAACATTATTCTTACATTTAGGTAATATATTAAATTTTTGGAAAACTGAGGCAATTCCACTCTTATAAAGAAACAAAGAAGCAGATACAATTACTGTTTAGTTTGTGTTACAGTAAAAAGTAAACATACCTAAAAGTAGTATTTGGTCTTACAAAAACACATCAAAATTATCACATCTATTCTATGAATTGAGTAAAAAAATCCTGAAGAACTTGGGTCTGAAGAACTCATCAACTCTGTACACTGAGAAAATTGTCAAAACCACTTTTCTTTACAGATGCAAAGAGTGCATAATTTCAGTTTTCGATCTACTTTTCAAATACAGAGAGGACTGGAAGGTGGAATACAGGGAATGGACAATTAGGGTAACATCTCTCTAGTTGCTGGAAACTACTCTTAAAGCACAACAGAAATACAACTAACATGGTGAAGAAGAAGCCTACCCTTCTGAAAAAGGGCACTGAATCTTGTAAGCAGTGGGAAATACTCAGATACTTCCCTTCAAAGGCTTTATGTTCAAAGATATGTATCTTGCAAGTTTGCATATGAATGCAGTTAAGATAACATAAAAACCATAGCTACAAGAAAATTGGCCTGATAAAACAGGTGCATGCATATTATGTATATAGAGATATAGATATGTATTATTATATATGATGAATTTTAGATGGTCTTTCTCAAACAGCATCATTGTATCTTATTTTGTTGAGTTTATTTCTCAAGGACCTGTTGACATACAAAAATTAACTCCACCTGCCAGAATTTACAGACTTCTGCAGAGAAAGCATGATGGAGGAACACATGGAACACCACTGTACTATACTTGTCAATTAGAGAAAAATTGAGGAAGTAGGACAGTGTTAGCATGAGGTTAAGCTAATAAAAAACCAATTGGTTTTGTATATTCTTTAAATATATCACACAGGGAAGGATTCTCTTTGAAAACTTCTCATATATTGCAACAGTTCCCAGGACTGCTTTAAGGATTTTTGAGCCACATCTATGGGTTTTCTTTAAACTGACTTTGGAAGTAGGAACCGGCAAAAAAAGTTTTATTCAAATACTACACATTTTTTAATCCTTCTTTCTCAATACCCAAAGATTTGCACCTGTCTGCAGTTTTGCTATACTATGTCATACAGCTAAACGTGTTTTCCAAACTGAGGTTTTCTCTCCTTTAAATACACAAAATAGATAAACTCAATTTATAAAGCAAAAGGACTTGAAATACTGAAATTTAGTTTACCACTCCTTATTTGAATTTCCCACAAAACCCTCTCATGATTAAAGAAAAAAAGACAGACTTCTTAACAAAGCAAAATGACTCGCCACTGATGTGCTATGATTGAACAAAAAGAAACATCTAGTCTTAGATACCTGCCGATCAAGGTCAACGTAAGCATCATTTCCAACAGAGACTGGAGACTCTTTACTCATCAACTGCAATTAGATTACACTGGATTAGAAAAAGCAAGGATTTACTTTTATATTAAAAGCTAAGCTTCAATGAAATACCAAGCTGATTTTAACTTTTGGGAGCTTCAATCTGACTTCATTCAGAAGTTTTTAACTTTGTTTTTATATATGACATATTCAGAAACAATTACAGAAAGAAATCTTCAGAATTTATAATATTTAAAGCACTATAAAAGAAATCTTACATCATGTCTTCTTCTTCTGAAAATGCACATTCTTTATCTATGATGAAACCTACAGTACACTTTGCTAAGCATTTTACTGAAGTGGCATTGGAATGATAGTAGCTATCAACCCACCATGCAAGACCTGCCTTTAACTGTTCTCTGCCAGCGGTTTTCATTTTTTGATCACCTGGAAGTTCACATCAATTTATTTGTTTAACTATAGTTGGGGACATATCTATCTCAGCTAATTTTACAAAACAAAGATGATCAAAATTCCTGCTCTGGAGTCGTCTGTAATTTGCAAATTTAAAAAGAAAGTCTATAGAGAGTATTCCTGAAATGAGTATTACAATTCCTTGTATACTAACCTATTTTATTGCAGGAATGGCTGGCAGTGGTTTTAGTGTAGAAAACATTACTTTTAGCCATGACTTTAAAAAGAAAAAAAAAAAGGCAAGCCCTCCAAATTGACTGATATGCTTACTAAAAGATAAAAAGCTGATAAGAAAGTAAGTTTTCTTTCAGTAATCCACTGATCAGCTACACAGGTAGTTAAAAGTTAAATCAACTGTAACAGAAGTTGTAGCCCAAAAACGACCTCCCACCCACCTCCAGCAAACACATTAAGGTAAAGTTATTACTTAAAGTTGTAAGACACAAAAAAGGAACAGTCTTCCAAATAAGAAATATGTTGTAACTAACTCAAAAGGCAGCATTACAGAACCACACTGATGGTTTCTGTCATCCTGTCCAAACACAAAATGTTTTACGAGTTCTCCAATGACATGATTCATGGAAGTTAGAATCAAAAAGGCCCTATCCTAACCAAAATCAGGACAAGATTTCTTTCCTAAGGCTTCCTGTCCAGCCTGGTTACTCTCTCCAAAGACAGAGCTTCCTTTATTCCTTCCAGAAATCAGTGCTTTTGCATCATTTTTCATTGGCAAAGTTCCTCGGACACACAGCACAGAGCTTTCACTTCTTCTCCATCCCTTCTGTTTATACCACTGTGTACAAGTGACATTTACATCATTCAAATATTTATACACTTACGTTTCTCTCCCTTTCCCCATCTCCTTAATTGGGATTTAGCTATGTACCACGTGCTTAAATTCATCTATCTGTCCTCAGCAGTCCTCCTCAGACCTTGATGATGTTTGTTGCTAACTGCTGAATTCCTTCCATTTGGTCTACATCTTTACAATGACAAACTACTCTGAAATGAACCATTCCATGAAGCCCAGATTCTCTGTAACAGTGATTAGAAAGTCCCTAGCCTCAGAGCTGTCCCCTGAAAAAGGAAGTCATGTGTCTTTTTCATTACCATATATAGTGGCATTACAAACTGTCTTTAATTTAGGGCCATGTTTTCTAAGCTCATTATCGTTTTGCCATCCAAAACAAGAATTTCCAATCCCTCTCTGCTCAGTGATGTTTATACATGTTTCAGTTACTCCATTTCACTAGCTATCGTTTAAATGCTTTTCCAGATGACTAACAGGGATATCCATATTAACCAAATGCTGAACTCTCCTCCCTATCCTATATCCCACAACACTGTTCACAAACGCACTTCAGACTTCAGACACTAAGTCAGTTCCACCCGCTAAGCCAGTACTTTCCAACTGGCAGGTCCCAGGCTGCATGCAGCCTGCAAGGGTGTACAACAATATGCCCCTGACAGCCACCACCCCTTTCTGGCCCTAGCACAACTTCCTCTTCAGCAACCCAGCTTAATAGGCCTGTCCAAGACTTACTTACTGTAGGAGGAATACAAGAGGCTGCACAACCCACTAGAGGCCGCTGTGGTGTTGCTGCTTTCTGTGGATTACCGTAAAGGAAGCAGGCAGAGGCCAATAATACAGTCCCTTTATTCTTCAAGGGGTTTTGCCATCTCTCCCAAAACTTCCTATCCTTGAGAAGCCTTAGCAGAAATGTCCAGAAAAGAGGACATTAGCTGGAGAAGGATTAGGTGGTGGAGATACATGGTGTGGGTGTAGCTTGAATGTTACACAGAATTTGTGAATTTAACTCCATGGGCTGCATCAGGAATGTCACGGGAAGTGTGCACGAGGCACTGAGGGCAAGAGCCACAGACAAATGTGCAGATGACTGACTCAATGCAACAAGAAGTATCTTGCAATCTTATGGCCTGTGATATGGTAGGGATGCTAAAGAAGAAATCTAAGGGATTGCGCTGCGTCCAGTAGCACAACCAGACAAGGAATGGGAACAAGATTGCCAGGTTACTCACAAGTAATACATAAATCCAACTTCTGATCATCAGTTAATGATAAACTGAAGTTAAGAAGTGGGGTGAAAAGGGAGAGTTATCAGGGTGAAGGAGTGCCTCCATCTTTTCCCCACACATCTCCCCACACAATGGAGAGGACAATGGTATAGGTAAGCAAATGTCTTGACTGTGCTCCGCTTCTGGATTGCCTCTACCCAGTTTCTCACCGCTTAATAGCAAACACTTCAAGGCAAACAGCACAGTTAATAGGGTACAACTCCATCCACCTATCCAAACTTCTCTTTTATAAGATTTCCTGAAAAATTCAAGGGAAGCTTTACTGTGTTTTAGGATTCCATACAGATATGTAGTCAACTCAAAACACACACTACACCTTCCATCCACTTAAAAATATAAGGTAACAGGCTTGCCTAGTTTCCCCTATTCTTCTCTTTGTTTCTTGTCAATCAGCATTCTCTGATACTACTGAAGTTTAGAGCTCCAAAATGCTTATTTCATCAGTTACCTGCTCGATGGCATATTAGCTCTTTCTGCATTACTTATTACTAATCCAACGATACTAGTAGGTTGTTACTAATTTTTAAAGCAAGTTTCCTTACTGTGTTCTGCTTTATATCTCCTTTACTTGCAAGCTCAAATTCAGACAAATTCCTGAAAGACTGCTGTAGTTTCAGTGCTTCACATGCAATCTGCAAGTGTGATATTAGAACACATTGTCTTGAGAGGTATGGGTGAACACCAATACTTTTGAGTTCAGAGTGGCAAACTTTTATTTCATTTGTATTTCAATTGGCTGACTCAAGAGAACAAAAAGCAGGAGGAAGTGGTCTTCTCATTCTCCCTCCACAGCTGCAAGTTTTCTTTTCTTCAGGAGCAAACTACTGGTGGGCATAAAGGTCTACCTTCACAATTTTGCAGCACTGGAACTGGCTTTCAGCTCCAAACTCACAATTTAGCTTAAGTATAGTATTATCACCTATTTTCATATGTACCTTTAATGGATGAGGATGTGCGGAGATTTTGCAAGTGAATTGATTATAGAAAGGGAAATCAAAAAAGTGCCTGCAAAATCAAGCAATTGCATTAGGCCTCTACAGCAGAAGGAAAAATCTGCTTAAGAGCTTCCCACAGTGAAAAAGCAAGCAACTAGCATTTACTTCCTTGCTCTTTTTCTGGTTTATTTTGCATATTTAGAATAAAGAGTTGAAGTAGCACAAGTATTTGTTCAAATAATCAAAATGTCATTTAAAATCAAAAGAGCTTATTCTGTGGTGAAGCGGTCCGTCTGGATTTTAAATGGTACAATACCCTGGACAACAGGACAATTTTTATAATTATTTGTCTAGTTTTATGAGAAGCAGTTGTCATTCCCTGTTAATCCTTTACATCTACACATTTTCATGCTCATAGCTTTGGTACGATGTCTTAGAAAATACTTGTACATCTGCTAATTTTATATTATTAAAACCTTCACACTTTTTAACTGCTTTGCTTGTGAAATGTGAACAAGTTCTGTTGTCATGGATACATAAAGATTAGGGACGGGGTAAAACTATCACAAAATCTGCATGCATGAATAACCTGAATTATGAATGCTTTTTTTTCCCCCGACACAGGATTTGCATGATTTTGCAAATGCAGCTGCATCACTTAGTTGATGATGTTAAAAGTTCGAAACATTTGCTTTATCTGAAATGCTTCTTCTACAGTTGTTAATATTGTACAAGCTCATTTAAGTGCCCATGAAACAATGGCAAAATCCAGCTTCTGTAATCAGAAGGTTGTTTTTCTTTTTTAAAACATCTTTTTGTTTGTTTGCTTTTTAAGAGTCAAGGCTATGTATGACACAGCGTGTATCCTTTAATGCAACTGAACTTTCTTCTTCCTCCAGTACTGCTGACAGACCCAAGGCAATTTTTTTCTATCATTTCCTAGCTATTCAAAAGCCACTTTTATTTCAGACAAGATGAACCTTTAAACAGTCAGGACAAAATACAGGGTGGGGGAGGGGGAAAAACCACAAAACCAAACAGTTTCGACTTTGTGGAAGTAACATAGTTGGTATTAATCCAGACAGGAAGTACCTTTTGCTATGCACCCCAGGCAAGTTTTGACACTACCTCTAGGTACTTTGCTGTTAAGAGCCTATTCTGACTCTCAACTTGACCTGCACAGACACCTGCTACATGTTCAAGTTTAGAGATGTTCTAAACAGCAAAGGCAAACAATTTCCCCAGCTACCACTTTCATCAATAATGAACTTGGTTGCTCAAAGAAAAGACTTGGGAAAATGACAGCAGAATTTCCAAAGGATGTCAAGGCAAGGAAAGGAAATAAAAATACATAATGGCCAAAATAATTTCTGTAAGGAAAGATTTTTGGCCTTTAAAAAAAAAATGCAAATTATGAAATTAAAAAAATATGTTATAGGTAGTAATATATTAATTGCAAGTAATAATAAATTATAATAATATAAATAGAATATAGGAGTATATATATTACAGAATATACAATACAATACATAATTTATAATTGTATGTAATATTTTTTGCAACATTTTTGATAGCTATATCATTCTTGCTCTTCCTCTACCTTGTGTACAGCTTGCATTTAGAAATGCACATCTGCAGGTTAGAAACTAAGAATCTAGGTGGTGGCAACACACCAGATCAATTTGACTGCACTGAAAAAATAACAGAAAAGCACTGTTCAATTTATAAAACCTTTATGGAGCACGAGGCATATTTTATTATTAATATTTTATTTTAAACAAGTAAGAGAAGAAAGGAAATGCTGAAGAGTCACAAGTTATTAAAAAGACTGAAATAACCAAATAAAGTTTAAAACAAAATGTTCCTTCTTCCATTTAAAAATCAGCTTCTTCATGCAAAAAAGAGAAAACAGGGCAGAGGCTTGTTCTACTGTGCCTCATGAAATATTTTCATGAGTAAGATCATTTATGAAAACCAAAGAAGTATCAAAAACATTTATACGTGCTTTGCTGAAACAAAAAATGAATTAAAAAATACATCAGTAAAGCTTAGAGAGGTCTTTCTGCATACCTAAATTTGAAGAAGGAGTACCTGCATGTCAAATACTTTGAAATGTTTGGATTAGGTGACATACCAACTTTTCAAATATGCTTATATAGCTACTTTCCCAGGCACTTTATTTTGGTGTCTCCTACATACTGCTTAGTCCAAGTCACTTGGATTCCGAGAGCAGCTCCGAGTCCAAGAAACAGAAAAACCTCCTTAAATCCAGTGAAGTTTCACCCCTCCAAAGACACAGACTGCACGTGCAGCTCTGAAAAGATTCTCTGGATCTAAACTCTTGTTAGAATCATAGAAAATCTTGAGTTGGAAGGGAGCCATAAGGATCATCAAGTCCACCTCCCTGCTCCTCGCAAGACTACCTAAAACTAAACCATTTGACTAAAAGCATCGTCCAGATGCTTCTTGAACTCTGACAGGCTTAGTGCCATGACCACTTCCCTGGCGAGACTGTTACAGTGACCCACCACCCTCTCAGTGAAGAACCTCTTCCTAATGTCCAGTCTGAACTTCCCCTGATGTAGTTTCATTCCATTTCCTTGTGTCCTGTCGCTGGTCACCGGAGAGAGGAGATCAGCACCTCCCCCTCCACTGCGCCCCTTGAGGAAGTTGTAGACAGAGATGAGGCCACCCCTCAGCCTTCTCTTCTCCAAGCTGAACAAACAAAGTGACCTCAGCCACTCCTCATAAGTCTCGCCCTTGAAACCCTTCACCATCTCAGTCGCTCTCCTCTGGACACACTCTAATAGTTTGATGTCATTCTTATATCGAGGTGCCCAAAACTGCACACAGTACTCGAGGCGGGGCCATACCAGTGCAGTGTAGAGTGGGGCAATCACCTCCCTCAACCAGCTAGCTACGCTGTGCTTGATGCACCCCAGGACACAGTTGGCCCTCTGGGCTGCCAGGGCACACTGTTGACTCAT